TTGGGAGAGACCTTGTTTCCCCTAGCGCCTCCCGGGATAACAAGGAATAACGGCCACAAGTTGTTGGAGAGGAGGTTTAGATTAGACATCCATAAGAACTACTTCACAGTTAGGGCAGCTAGGATCTGGCACCAACTTCCAAGGGAAGTGGTGCTGGCTCCTGCCCTGGGGGTCTTTAAGAGGAGGCTTGATGCCTACCTAGCTGGGATCATTTGAGCCCAGTTTTTTCTCCTGCCCTGGCAGGGGGTCGGACTTGAAGATCTATAAGGTCCCTTCCGACCCGACTTCTATGATTCTATAATATAAGATTCATGATTCTGATTTCTCTATTACTGGTATAATACCATGACTAAGGAAAATCATTATAGACAGTCAAGAACTGGTGCATGGAGCTGTTTGTGCCTAATTCCTAAATTTCACATTCAGACACTGCAAACCACTACAGGAGCAAATAGCTGCAAGAAATTAAAAAAGAACTAGGCATTTGTGCAGCTAAAAGCCTCTCTGGTTTCGACAATAGAATGAAACGAACAGACAAGCAACCCTCATGTGTCAGGGCACATAGTGATTCCCTGCTATGATCAGGCACCAGGGGACGCATAATGGAAAGGGATACACTTTTTCTGAAGTACCTAGCATTGGTCACGGTTGGAGACAGGACACCAGGAGGAAAAAGGCTACTGGACTGTGCTAAAGCTGCAGCTACCCTATGCCATTGCAGAAAACTCTAAGAACCATCAGTTTCCAGAAACTGTACAGAGATAGGACAATGCAGCATGCTAGTGGCAAGACATAATGCTTTCCTGAGCAAAAAAGCAATCAAAGGCAAGAAAGGAGGGCACGTGGCACTGTGCATCTACTTACTTTTGCAGAGCGGTTCCCGCTGGCCTTGCAGCATGAGAGAAGACCGTTCTAGGCTGCCAGTCAGTCCAGGAGTGTTTGCAACCAAGCAGCAAACATTTCCAGATATTTCCCCACATGTGTGCGCAAGATAAAGGGAAGGCAAACTGCCGGGACACCTCCCACTGATCTCTTCCTGCAAGCTCACTCCTTGTCATCGAAAGAGGGAAGGCTCTGTTGAGGGGCTGTTCTGAGAAATGGAAATGGTGCTGGTTGCAGTGACGCTTCAGTAGTGCCAGCCCTGATATAAGTGATGAAGACTGGCCTAGTGGCAGGGGAGGGAAAGGACAGTAGGGAAGGAAGGATGCAAGGGTTGTCTTCATTATGCTTCTTGCAGGCTTGCCCCATGCTGAGTAATGGGACTGCCTACAGAGAGGTGTGGACTGTAAGCAGGGCAAGGCAGAGACTGTTACTAATGGCACATCTGTGCAGCAGCTACCACTGTGGGGCTCTACCCTCTCAGAAGCTGCCCCATGCTACCACAAAAACAAGGCTTAATAGTAGTGAGCTTCAAAGAGAAAGATGGGCACTAAATGCAAACACACCTCAGCTGGGGAGTATGTGGATAAGCTATTCAGCAGCCTTAGGAAAGCTACTATCTCTTAGGGCCATCCAGTGCTAAGTGGCACCTGTCCTTGCCTCCCATCTGACATGATTGCTATTTCTGCGTCTGTTACTGGTGCAGCTACTTTCCTCTGCTGAGGCTGGAGAAGATTCGGCAATAGCAGCCAACTAGATCTCTCTCCACACAGAGATCAAGCAAGGATCATACTAATTAGGCAAGAGGTCTGCAAGAAAGCTGGGGGAGGCTCATGTGGATCAGCAATAGCTTCAGTACAGTAACCCAGCATCCTAGGTTGATGATGATAATGTCATCCTAGGTCATTCCCATAACCCTCTCTATGACTTTCATCCTAAAGGAATTTGAACCCTGTACCAACTATATGCACAGCTCCGAGTATCCCTTCACACCTGCATATGTTCCAGCAGTGGGACAGGAAGTAAAAGAGGCAAAACAGAAAAATCTCACGTAGGGGCAGAAGTACCCATTTTATTTTGTTTTTTTCCCATTTGTCATCTCCCACCATCTGTTGATTTTGCCATTCCGCCCCCGCTTCCCCCCAACCCTTCCCATTTTTATTGGTATTTCTTCATTGAAGGTAAGGTCCTTACTGGTTATGGATAGATCCATCTTTGGGAGAATCTGCCTAGCACATGTGGACCAAGTACGTTGGGACAGGAAGTAAAGGAGAATACTGTATCCAGCTGTAGGCAAAACTTAAATAGGGAGAAAGTTCTGACTTAAGAAGCAACTAGGAAGTTCAATTTAACACAACTAGCATTGTGAAGAGCACCACAAGAGTCACAGTTACCATTACGGACCTTGCCTTCACATTTCATCACAAAGCCACTCTCTGGCACTCTGGTAAACCCTAAGGTTGTATTGCAACGTATGGATAGTATCAGCACCTCCCACAGGGTCTCAGGTTTTCTTTGGAGGTCTCCCACCCAAGTACTGACTCCAGCGTAGCCCTGCTTGGCAGGTTGGGAGATCTAACACAGTGGCCTGGGATTCTAGTCACTTAATTGTAGGGAAAAGCTGAGCAGAGAAGAAATCCCTTTTGAGGTTTTGCATGGCCTCGCATGACTCAGAGTTACACTCAAACCTAGGACATTCTGGTAGCTGCACCAAAATGAAGAAGGCTAGATCCAAGGAAAGGAAGAAAACTGCAGACTGCCTCAGCTGGACAGTGCCTGGAAAGATAATGCTGACAGGGACATCATGATCTGGTGGGCTTTTCTCGATAGTCAGATGACTCAGCAGCCTCAGAGGCATGTGCAATGCACAGTTAGCAAGGGAGGCTTACCACATCCCGTATTCGTGGCACAGAAGAGATGCTCCAACTGGACCAGCAAAGTCAGCTGGATAAAAATACACTAAGGCCATCTGGATGCTCTCAGGATGCTGAGGTCATATCACCATTGTCCACATTAAAGGCCAAATTCTGCCTTAGGTTTCTCACTAGAGTTAGAAGCTGCAGAGCTGGGAGGATCTGGTCCTTTGATTCAGCGGGGCTGTAACCAATCGGCAGGATTTGGCCCAAGGGGAGATTAAAGTTTTGTTTCTCTCTTCTAAAACCATTGAGCCTTGAGTTTCCAGTAAGCCAACAGAGACCTCCCCAACCATTACACCAGAGTAGGCAGGTAAGTTGGGAAAGGAACAAATAGCTCAGGCCAGAGGCGTAACAAGCGGGTTCTGTGCTCTGGATGGCAGCGGTGGCAGGAGCGGTGGCAACAGGTGTTGTTGCTTCTCATTTAAATGATGCCTGGGGCTGGTGCCCCTGTCACCCACCCTTAGTCATGCTGCTGGCTCAGGCTCTTGCAATTGTGCTTTTTTTTCAGTTAGGAAGGGCTTAGTGACAACAGTGACAACCCGGATGTATTTTCCCCATAGATTTTAAGGCTGGAAGGAAACAAGAGAAACATCCAGGCCAACTTTTGGCATAACATCACCCCACAGATCCTGCACTGAGCTGCATGTGATTGCACAAGGTATATGGACAGAGAGCACCAAGGTGAATTTTCCAGGCCTCTTTCACCTTATGATGAATGCCATTTTGACAGAGAGAACAATTAAATCAGGAGAAGGGCACTTAGTGTTTTTAATGCATTTATTTCACTGATCAGTTCAGGTAGTAAACATTATTAATAATAATAATAATAACAACAATAATCATTTTAATAAAATGGATATGTTTTAAAAGGTTCCATTTTCTGTGTTCACAACAAACATTTCAACAAAAATTTACAAAAAAAAAAGTAATCAAACAGACCAACGAAGTGCCTTGGAAGGGAGCGTGGGGAGGTGGGGTCACATGGTCACGAGTAAGCCAGAGTTACCACATGGCTGTGGCTGGGATGAGTGAGCAGAAAAGCCTTCACACAGCACAAATGAGTCCCCCCAAAAGGATGTGGGCCAAGGACAAGGCATGCAGACAGGGCAGCAAAGTGATCACAAAGCCAGTACCACACAACAGGTACCTCCTCAGTCAGGCACAAAGTTAAAGGGGTTGTACCGACCGTCCTCTTCCCCAGCTACAGCTACAGAGCAGGACAAGACCCCTGGAGAGAGCTGCTAAGAAGTGCTATCATTGGCAATGTTTGCCTTTGGTTACACATAGGTGCGTGGGCAGGGGGGTGGTGAGGTTGGGTGGATTAGCACCCTACTTACACCCTTCTCTGTCAGTGGGAGCTACAGCCCCACGGGCCAAACAGACACCCGTGTTTATCCAGGAATGCTCCTCCGGCTGCAGAGCAGGGCCAGTAACAGACACCCATTCTTTGAACATGCAAGTGCCACTTCCACAGACAGACACCAGTGCGTGCAAGAGGACAGCTCAGTTTCTGGTCCCTTTCCAGGCAGCCATCATACCTCACCTCATGGGGGAGGAAGCTGGCTAGCTTTTTTTTGCTGGTGGGTCTCTGTGGTCCCACTTCACCTCTGCAAAAGTTGCACCTCCAGCTGAGAAGCTGCCATTCTAGTCACTTCACTGGCAGGTACTTCTCTGCCTGACCCCAAACTACAACCCACTCTTCTGCCCACGACTGGAATGGATCAGTGATTCATTGCTTGATTTAGCAGCAGTTTGCACTGAGGTGATGGAGACTCCTTCACTAAGAAGAGGAGCAGATGTCTTAGTCAGCAATACTTCTGGAGGGGCCTTGAGCTCCCGACTACCTCAAGTCCACAGCAGCACCCTGTCTGAACGCCTTGCTCACTGCTGCAGCCATCAGTACAGCTGCATATTCCACTTTGCCATGTCATCACCTGAGGCTAAAGGGAAGACGATCTCCTCTTCGTCTTAGATCAGAACTTGCTTAAAACACAGGCACCCTTGGCTGGTCTAGAGATGTTACTGCAGTAGGTCACTCTCTTGTGGGATGCACTGCCCAGAAAATACAGAAACAAGGAACTTTGCAAGCTTAAAAAAAAGGGAGGAGCAGGAGAGAGGAGGGACAGTACAGCCATGTCAATGCTTTTGCAGTTACAGTAGTACCGATAAAACTGGTGAGAGTTAGTGTGGTGGCAGCTGATTTCCAACAGAGGCCTGGAAGAAACTGTCCCCATAATAATCGCACAAGAAGGAGCACTGCAGGGAGGCTTGGTCCCCCCAAACATCTGACACTGTGGGGGCAGGGAGGGGGGCAGGACACCAGATTAGATAGACCCCTAGTCTATCCTGGCCTGGCATTGCCCCAAATTGCATGTGCTTCACATGGGAAGATGGGAAGAGAAAAAGGAGCCACCTAGGTAATAGCCTTGCTCTTCTGCCAGATGGAAGCACGTCCCTCATGCTCCTGCACTTCTCTGGGGCAGTAAAAGGCATCTTAAACAAGCCAGGCTCAAAGCTCAGAGTTTCAGTCTGGTGCTCACTCATGCATCCCCTACACGTTGGGTGAGAGACCTCTTAGGCACCAAGCCCCGCATCACAGCCTAGATACAAGTGGCTTGGCCTGATGAACAAGAGCCACCCAACCTACTGACCAAGTGGGACAAGGGCACTGTAGAGAGAAGCCAGCCTGACATGCTGCCAGGACCAGCCCTAGGATCTAAAACCAGTATTTAGCATGCTGGCTATGCGTAGCCAAGCCAGTAACAGACAGTGGGGACCACCAGGGAGCCAGCAATGGAGCCCAAAGCTGCAGATACATGTGAACAAAGAGGAACTGGAGCAGAAGCTAGGGGCTGGGCACAATGGCCTCACCCAATGTGCATCAGAGTGAAACCAGCCTGTTGCCTGAGCTCCATGGAGTCAAGGTAGAAAAGAGCCAAATGAGAGGTTCACTTAGAGGCCCCTGCAAGATGTTATTCCCATCAGCCTTCCCAGCACATCCTATGCTATCAGACACACCACACTTCTGGTGATCTCCTCTCACTGGGGCTGATGGTAAAAATAAAGCAGGAAGCAGCAGCGAGACAGAAAGGCTGCAGACAGAGCACTCTTATCTCTGCCTACCAGATCCCGCCTGCCTTCCCAGCACTAGAGCTGGAAAAGACAGGTTGCCAGGCCTGGGGACAGGAGGAAAAGGGGAGCCTAAAGCTACCGTAAGAAAGGGCAGTGCAGGAGGGGCAAGGCCTGCCGGGCTGCACTTGGTCCCTGGCGTAACACCTGCACACCTGTTGTGCTGGCTGAAAACTTGGCAAGCCATTCATCACCCCCGTTCCCGTTGCAGCCTGCCCTCCCAGCTCTGCCCCTCCACAAAGCTCTCAGCTCTCCCACACGCTCATTAAGAAAGTACAGGGAAAATGGCAAAATGGGCTAATGGGCCAGCAGTGTGCCTGAGGGGCTTCACATGCTTGGAGGGAAAAGACGGCCCTGCTCTGAGAAGCTGTTCCTTACCCAGTAGCTTTTACCATTCAGCTCCAAACAGTGGGTATGGCCTGAGCCTTTCACACCTCCAAATGAGCACTGGGGTTACACCTGGTTGAATAGCAAGGGCTGAACCATGGGACCTCCATGCTTCCCACCCTAAACAGGGAAAGGAGTGAAGAAAAAACCACCATGTCGCCTGCTAACTCCTCAGTTTTGCTGGCTGCAGTGGGCTGAGGCCATGCTGGCACCCAGGAGATTGATCCAGTAGCAATCACCTCTCTGAAGGCTGATGCTGCCTGGCCTTCAATGGCACACCTGCGAAACTAGGAAGGCCTAAATAAGGGCAGTGGAAAGCTGGTATTTACTGACCTAGGGAGCAAGGCTCCTTCCTCTCAGTGCAAACGATCCTGGAACTTCTCAATGGGAAAATCAAGCAGGAATGTTCAGGCACCTTAAGAATACCCCGACGGGCCAGTTTCAGTGACAAACCCCTGCTGTGCCTTGCAGTGAAGCAGTGGCTGGGAAATGCCCAGGCAGGGATGTGCAGCTGGCTTGGTCTAATCCATGAAAACTCAGAGGTAACATTCGCCTTTTGAGGTACCTGTGCTGGCCCTAAGGGGTGGTGAGGGGGATGGGGTCACCGCACCTTGGCTGGGAGTAAACATTGACGTGCATTTACACAGAGAGTCTTCAAGTTTGGATGCCACAGACACCATGACTTGAAATCCCAGAACATTCCCGAACGAGCAGTTAGTACACCTGGAAGGGGGGGAGGTTTTAAAAATGCCTCAGACACTTCCCAGACTTCTATATATATACACACATATATTTAAAAAAATAGGAAAAGAGGGAAAAAAGAAAACCCACATCAGTAAACAGTGAAGTGACCAGCCTCCTCCACGATCCGGCTGACTGCAGGGCCAGTGTCGCTGCTAATAAATTAGAGGGTGGAGAGCAGCTCTTGCCCGCAAGTCTCTACGCGATGGGGAACTTCTCTCGAAAACATCCACGTCTCAAGCTGGGCCCCAGCAGATCACCGGGGGGAGGGATTCCTTTCACCCCCCCGTCCTCCTAGCGCTCACTGGTCCTGCATCTGTTGCTGCATCTTCTGCAGCATCTCTTGCATCCTCCGCAACTGTACAAAACAGGGGAAGGGAAGATCAGAGGGTGGGTGGATCCACCACAGGGAGCAGCCAGGTTGTTGGTGAGAGGGGGACTATGCCACCCCACCTTTTGTGCTGGGGCCCCGGTCTGCACAGCTTCTCATTCTCCTGGGTGCCTGGGCTACCTTGGACTGGCTCACAGGATACGTGGGACCAGGATACATAGGGCTTGGGAGAGGCCCGGCCCCAAGGGGAAGGTTGCACCTCAACCTAAACATGACCCAGAACATGTGGGCTGGTTCCCGTGACAGCTGGCCCATATGAGCCCCGCGGTCCTGGGAAGAAGGGAGCTGAGGGAAGGGTGCCAGACACTGCTGAGGCAAGGACATTTATCCACAGGATACAGAGGCAGGGTAACCGTCCCATGCTACCCTATGAGGTGGCTCACCTTGGTGAAGGCAGCTCCCAGGGCCTGTTCACTCCTTCCCGTCACCCCAGTAATAATGCATCAGAGCATCAGGCCCAGCGAGAAGCTGGTGCTACACACTGACACGACAGCGACACACAGCTCGGCTGTCTAGGGGAACCATGGGTGGTCTTAGGTTGCATTTCAGCCACTCCTGGCTCTTGCCACCACTTGCTGGACATCAGGGCCCTTATAATCACAGCGACTGAACAGGGCAGAAGGAGATGGACGTGGCAGAGAGGATGCGGCACTTGCCTTGGGTGGTCCTGACAGGGTGCGAGAGTATCTTGGAGAAAACTCTCTAGTCACCTGAACACAGCGGCTGCTGACAGAGCATTAGTGTCCACTTCTCAGCATGGCATTGCCACTGCCTGAGAGGGACACAGCCTCTGCAGAAGGAAAGGAACGGGGAGGTGGGGAGAGGGACACTGCAGTGGAAAGCCCCAGGAGAAACTCCTGTGATCCTAGCACTCATCCCCATGGACCCCGAAGTGCAGTGGAGACTTACCTCTTCATCCTTCATCTTGATCAGCTTCTCTGTTTCCGTATCAGGTGTTGGAAGGGGCAGGATGGGAATCGGGCTTTCTATCCTGTTGTCCTGAGTCAGCTTGCTAGTGAAAAAGAGAGAGGATGAAATCAGTCCAGTCCACTTCCACCCTGGCTGGAACCGGCGCAGAGGAAAGGAGCACTGTGTGGACATGTGCATATCCAGCCAGCGACGCTCAGCACTGACGCGGGCCTGCGGGGTGCTGTGAGGCGGCGCGGAGCAAGGGCTGGAATCCCCTCACATGCGGGCCAAGATCACCAAGGAGCACCCTGGAGGGAGGCCCTCGTAGGTATGAAAGCCACACACCCAACTGGATGGACGGCCCACTGACAGCAAGCTTCAAGTCACTAATCGTGCTGAGGCTCGATATAGCAGAGACGCTTACAGGCCAAAGTCTTGCGGTCTTGCCCTCTGTCTCTATCTGCCTAGGAGATGTGGACCTAAGACGGCCAGCAGCCTCCTGAGCTGTTGAATGCAGGCCCCTGTGTTCATAAGCTCTCTTTAACCAGAGGGATCCCAAAATCACTACTTTGAGCCCTCATCTACGGCAATACCTGACACACCAAGGGCACCCAGTAGCACACTACAGGGGAGATGAGGGCGCTGGCACTGCACTGCAACTACAGGGGAGTAGATCGAACACAGGAAAAGAACCATGCCCTGTACTACAGAGGAAGGCAAAATCCCCCTCAGCCTCTGCCCGTCTCATCTAAGGGGAAAACTCCTCCCTGACTGGCAAACAGGGTGATTGGTGTGCCCCTGAGCAGAAGAGCAAAAGTTTCTAGCTGAAACCTCTGCATTTTTATCACCAGCAAGAGCAGGAGCACACCCTACGCAGAAACCCATAGCCTTAGCTGTGGCCACCATTGCCCGCCCCCTTCCACACACACACACACACCTTCTTCTATACAGATCAAAACATGAAAGCAACTGAATTGATGCGAGTCCTAATAATAATGCGAGTCACAATCTGCAAGGAGTGAAACACGCTTGGGAAAGAACAGAAACTGCAGTGCCAGGGTGCCATTGTATACTCTCACCACCTGGTGGCAACAGCAGCTCATTAGTCAACCACCTCGCCAGTTGTCTGGGCTATTTCACTACAGAAGGCTTTATCTAAATCGACTTTCATCTTAAAAAGTTCAGCTGAATATTGGAAACTGTTACATCATCACCCCTGGTTCTCACAGCTTTGCATGAGAATCTGAGACCCTGGAAATGTGTTGGATATAGAAAAAAGATAGCATTTAAAAAGTGCATTTTTTAAACTACTTCCATTAAAGAATTTCTTCTTAGCTACTCCTCGATTTATTTAGCGATTACTACATTCTGTACATAAACAGTATTTAGGGAAATACACCATTTCTCTCAGATCTCTATAGTTACTTCTGCTGGGTCTCAGGCATGTCCTTCATTAAAAATAAAAACAGATTGTCTGACAGAAGGTTAATTATAGGGGTCTGTGCATGAACACAGGCACATTCACAGACATTTACACACACAGCCTACTTGTGCATCAATGAAACACAGCCACTTCTGGGGTGGAAAGTGGCAGCACAGAACACTGTACACAGTGGTTTTGAGTAGGAAGTGAAGGTTTAACTCACAACAGAGTTTTCAAAGGTAACATTTTCAATAAAATTTGAAATTTTGGAGGAGAGAAATGGAGGGTTGTTGGGGTTTTTTTTGTTGTTTTTTTTTTTACATGAAATTTCTGAGACCATTCTCTCCTACCTTCTGACCTGTTTGAGCCTGCAATAAAAATGCAATGAGCTATGACAGGGTAACACTCTGGGGACACATGAAAATGCAGTAATTGGCCCCTGCTTGGGCAGAGGCATTGTCAAAGAAATGGCAGCATCTCGGTTGTCACTGAGACAGGGCCACAGCTGGGGAGGATACAGGCACTGCAACCCACACAGGGCCTCCCTACCAGACTACGCTTTGGCAACGCAGGCCCTTAGGGAGATGCTGTATCCCCTTCACTGGGCCAAGTCTATTTTAACTGACAGGAGTTCCTCCAAGAAGCACATTTCTCCATGGACCTTCCCCCAAGGCTGAGGATGGGAGCATGGGGCAGTGGCCTGGGCTCAGGAGTCCCTTGGGGTGAACTTACACTGTGGATATGCTATGACTGGCCTATGTCAGCTTCTAATTTTGCCTCTCGTGCACCCGCATGTTGAGTGCATGTGTCCAGTCCCTGGAACACCTCACTACCACCCCATGACATGCAGCACATCTGGGGCCCTACCTGGTCATCTGCTGGATGCACTGCGCTCGGTAGTTCTCATAGTGAACATCACAGGTGACATCTTTCAGGTCATGCATGTGCGTCCGGATCAACATGTTCCTCAGCTTCACAAAGTCACAGTGTGCTTGGTTCTCCACTAGAGAAATAGCAAGAAACAGTACTTGGACTTCACATACAGCAAGCCCCAAGGGGAAGCCATGACCTCTTCCACCCTTCCCAACATCCAGGTCTTAGCTAATACTCTAGTTCCTTCACGGTCCCTTCCACTTGACCCATCACTCAGACCTTCCCCTCCCCCTCTTGCTCCTTTGTACCCTCCATGCCAAAGGGTTTGGGCCGCAAACCCAAGAGGCTGCTTCTGCATAGGTGAGATACTGGGGCACTCGGGCTCCAGCCAACAGTGCACTGGTGGAGGTACTGCCTGGACATTTAAAAGCAGGGTCCCTTGCCCTACGGCTTGCTTCCTTCCTTCAGTCACAAGAGCCTGAACTCACTGGCCTTCGGACCAGGCTGCTGAAACCAGGCACTGCTGGAGCTTTGTTGAAGAAGGAACTGATGTATGCAGCCCACAAGGCAGCCACGCTCTGAGGCAAGATGTTGCCTCAGAGGTGTGTGCAATGCACCTGTGATGGGCCTGCTGTCTGCAGCTCACAATGGAGCATGAAACAAACTGCCCTGTGGAAGCCCAGTCCATGTGTTTCCCTTTGGCCTGACTTCGGGGCCTGATGCAAAACCCTTGGGCATCGATTGTTGTCTTTCCATTGGCTTCCATGGGCTTAGAATCAGCCCCTAGTGTCACTTGCTTCCCCAGAGAGGAAAGGCACTGCAGTGGGGAAATCCACAGACAGGCAGGGAGGCCACAGTTGTGCACCATGTAGGCACAGTCTCTGCAGGCTGAGTGTGTTCAGAGTCACCGCTGACAGAAATCACCGCTGAGATCACCTTCACAGCTCCCTTCCCCGCAGCTGGCAGTTTTATTCTCCTTCATCTGTGACTTTAGTCCAGGTTTTCCAGTGAATTGGTATGCTCCCCTTCTTTGCAATTTAAACCAGTGCTTGCTTTATTTCAAAGGACCAGTCTGAGGGGAGGCTAGGTCTTTATGAGACTCATTGCTTTGCTTTCATCTGCTAGCTGACCTCTCTGAAAAGTCCAGGGCAGCCAGGCTGTGCCACACCAAGGGTTTTGCAGACTGGCTTTCCTTCCACATACAAATGCTTCAATGCTTCTCCCCAGCTCATCAAACAGCCAGTGCTGGTCACTAAGTGCTCCTGAGCTGCCATACCACAGCAAGGTAGCTAGGTATGCAACCTGAAAAAACACCAATCATCTGATGGTGACAAAGCAAGTAAACAGGCAGATCTGGGGAGGAACACTGAATCAGGAGCAAAAGCCAGCTCACAGTCACACTGCTCAGGGGCTTTCCACAAGCAGGGGAGAATAGGAAATCGTAGGCAGACTTGTAGTGAGTCAGCACAGCCCTCTCCCTGTTTACTCCTTGGCACTGGAGACATGGTAGAAACATGCCTTTAATGCCTGGGAGCTGCCTTTGCCAGAAATTGGCATTGCAGTTTAAAAAAGTGGTTTCCTCCAATTCAAACCACTAATTTTGTGCACTGGGGATGTATTTTGGCAACACATCAGCTCACAAGCCCTTGCTGCTAGCATCAGCCTTACCTAAAAGCAGAACAGTGGGGAGATAATATGGCAGGTCAACATATAATCACTGCAGCCAGCTTTTGGGAGCAAGTTGCAGTAACACATCTCCCATATCCCCTTCCCAGCTTGGTGCTGTGCGTTTAGGTCTCACCACATCCATTGCAAAGACAGCAGTAGCAGCAGCAGCAAAGTCCTTTACTGGAGTAGAGTGCTGAAGGGTACAAAGCTTAGCTCCATTGGCAGCAATGGTGCCTGTGGGCAATGCCCTGCCTTCCTGAGCAGTGAGCAGCTGCTTCTTCACACACTAACTCCTGAGTCAACCCTATGCAGGAACAACAGGTAGAGAATCTCTCTCCTTTGCCCAGAGTGCTTCCATGATTGATATTCATCATGGAGAGCCACATGGCATCAGTCCCACCAGTCTCAGTGCCCTCGCCCATAAGCTACAAACATACACAGGCCATCAGCGGGCTCCAGAGCTGAACAGTCCAGCAATCACAACACAGCACTGAGCAGCACCCGCCTCCGCTGCAAATTCTGCCCTGGAGCTGGCACTGAGCAAGTCCAGCTTCCACTGCAGGGCTGCTGGGATCAGAGCATACCTTCCACGATGCCCCAGGGATACAGCCGCCCACGGACTCTCTGGCCTTTGGCCTCCACCACTGTGTTACTGCCAATGACAGCGAAGGGAGCGCTCTCCTGAAACAAGAGACAACAAGGAATTGTGAAGCCTGGAACAGCCCAAATGGGCTTGTGTACAGCTCAGGCAGGAGCCCCGAATAGTTCAGGTTCAGAGACAGAGCTCTACACACTGAGATGGGAGCTGAGAGGGCTGGCAAAGCCCCAGGCGCTGCCCCGGTAGTGTTTCCAGCAGTGGATCAAACAAGCACATTAGCTGATGAGGGGCTGTCCTTCCTGGAGGGACCATCTCAGTGGGATGTGGGCTGCATGTCTGGTATATTAAGAAATCCCAGCCTTAGTGACTCACTGCACACAACAGCTGGATGATGTCACTGTTTTGCTCAATTAAGTCATCATGTGACTTCCTTACCTTCAGCTCTCTGTCTTGCTGTTTGAATTCCTCATCTTCATCCGAGTCGCACTCTGGAAACTGGTAAACTTTAATCCCAAACTTGTCAATCTCTTCCCGGATCTATTTCCATGCAGGACAATGGCAAAGGAAAGAGAGCACCACATGGCTCATCAGCATGACAGAAGAGAACACCCCAGCAGAGTATCTACAACTATACAGCTCTGTGGCTTTTATGGGAAAGGGAGGGGGCCTCACAAGGTCAGGAAAACAAGCGAGAAGCACACTGCTGTGGACCCTCGAGAGCATCCTTGGAGGAGCAAGCTCTCTCTCCTAAGATTTCCAGTGTTCCTGGAGGGGCAGGGAGAGGATGGGAAGTGTGGAATAAGGCAGGACATTGCAGAAGCCAAACTCTTTGACTTTTTTTGAAAAGGGCCAGCCAGGGCTGGCTCCTAAAATAAGATACTTGTGAATGGATGGGAAAGGGGGATTCTTGGATCATTTTACCCACTGTCCATGGCTGCTTTGGGGCCACTGCATCTACAGCCCTAGTGAACTCTGGATTTGGACCCCTCTGCCCTGATAAGGAGGGGGGTGAAGGACCTGTTTGTGCCTGGCTGGCTATTACAGTGAAAACCCATAGGGAGGGGCTCCATTGGCCTTCTTGGACCCCTGACCCCTCTGAAGCAGCCCATTCAGCTGGCTGGAGAAGCCACAGTGACCCCTCTCCTCTCAATGTGCTACCATTTAAGGATCATCCCACTTCAAGAAGAGATGGAGCGTGCCTCACCCTCTCCTTTAGCTTTCGGATCTCCGAAGGGATCAGGCAGTCCGCTTTGGCAATCAGGGGCACAATGTTGACCTTCTCATGCAATGCCTTCATGAATTCGACATCCACCGGCCTCAGCCTGCAGTGGACATGGGGAGTTGCAGCACTCAGCAAGGAGACACAGGAGCCCACTTCCCTCTCTAAGAGGGCTGGTCCAGGTCACTCCTTGGGCTATGTACCCTCACACGAGGAAGCATGGAGCTAGACCAACCCAGCCCAGGATCTAAGGCACTGGAGCCTCAAATTCTGTGAGCCCCGAGGGCGAGTTCCCAGGTTCAGCTACAGCTGTTGTGAACGTGCCATTTGCAGCCCAGTCGCTACAGCAGCTCAGCCTGTTGAGCCAGATAGCATGGAGTGCAATTCACTCCCTACAGAACATATGCTGTGGCCCTGAACCCGGGTCCCACTTCAACTGCCTTTTGTAGCACAAAGATAACAAATCCAGCAAACTGAGTATCCCAGCTATGCAAGTCCTTTGGGTGGGGCTGCCACTGTATAAGGTAGCATCTGAATAGTCTAGAGGCAATAGTCAGCTACTACTGCCATCACCTAGTCATGTGCTGAGTGCCCCTTGGCCAGACTAGGTTTGTGTGCTGCTTTAATCCTCCCGCTCTCCAGGAAAAGCAGCAACAAGATATAGGCTTTGGGGCCCTCCAGCATCAGTGCCCTCAACAACAGCCTCCGCCCCTCAGCTACATAGACTGTGGACAGATTCTGCACAAGAAAATAAATATCATGGGAAGGAGAGTCTGCCCCACCACCGAGTAACATTAGCAGGAGTCCCTGAGATCCCACACACCCTGCACAGAGATGTGCCCCTGCCCTGTAAGGGGAGGAGAGCAAATGGCAGCCTCACCCATGCCCAAAGGGCGAAATGAAGTAGAGGCAGCAATGCACACGGTTGTCCTGGATGTTCTTCCGGTTCAAGCCGCTCTCATCACGGAAATACTGCTCAAATTGCTGGTCGATGTAGTCAGTGATGGGCTTCCAGCTGCAGGGGGGGCATTGCAAGCACACAGTCAACCCCAAGTTTAACAAGAGTTTCTCGGCTGATGTAGGTCAGGACAGTTCTACTGACTTTATTGGGGCTACATAGACCTGCCTGGTACAAAGATCTGGTTCATGGTTGTATTCAATAAATTTTTCGCATGCATATCCCAAAGCTTGCAGGACCTCTGGGACAGGAGAAGCCTCAAGGACAGGAAAGGCTGGCTCTTCTCTACTCCCCACCTCCCTCAGCCTGGCCCAAGTCCTGGGCAGTGCTCACAGCTGAATCTGTCCACATCCCTCCAACATGGGAGAGCAGCATTCCTCACCCTCACACTGCTCCCATTGCCCAGAGGAAACTGCTAAGACCCAGAAACAGCAGCAGAACCAAAGCACAGCATCTCAGCCCCTCTCACCACTCTGTGTTGTTAACAGCATCTCCAAAGCCCGGAGTGTCAACAATGGTCAGCTTCAGCTTGACTCCCTTCTCCTCAATGTCCACGGTGTGTTTCAAGATCTCCACGGTCTGGTTGATTCGCTCTTGGAACAAGAATAGGGGAATTAGGTGCAGAGTTTCACACGGGGCATCCTGCACACTAACCCTGCACTTGGACCACTCCCCCAGTGCAAGGCCCGGTCCCACAGCACTACGCCATCCAAGATGATCTGAGCAGGGTTGGCAAAGAGCCCATAAAACCCAAGTGTTTTATCCAGAGTGGCTGCTCCAGTGCTAATGGAAGTTGTACTCTGGGAGCTTCATTCTCCCATTCTCATTGTTGTGCCATGGGAGATGAAGTCTGGTTAAGCCTATAAAGGACAGCAGGGGACACGAGGCACCATGGCATCATTTCAAAACATGCATATTTGGGTTTTCCACTTTTCCAGGGAAATGCTATTTACAAAGCAGATGGCTTCCATTAAAATCTGTGCTTAATCAAACCCACTTTCCTGTCAAAAAGCAGCTTCAGCGTAACGAAGTCTGCACAAAGCTCTTGTGCACATTTGCTGGGAATTCCCTGTTGGCTTCATCAATGTGCCTCTGATTCTGAACAGGCCAGAAGGGGCCTGAGGAAGAGACAACTCTGAACCGGTGAGAAGGATCAGGATCGTGCTCATTTACCACAGCAGTTGGGAGAACGCAGGCATGGAGGTTAGGTGGCTTTTCAAATTAGCACAGTGAGACCGTGGCATTGTCCTGACTTTGAGTCCTCAGCTCTAACCATCTGCAACAGCACCTCTCAGAACTGTCTAGTGTCCCGCAAAACATGTGCATACACAGTCCCTGGGTGACCTTATTTATACCACAGGAATTGCTGTGCAATATCAGCCAGCCAGAAAGGCCTACCAGAGGCAGCAGCCAATACCTGATGCTTTCAGGAGAAAGCAAACACCCCCATAATGCATTTTTCTAATGGATCTAAATGGTCAAACTCTGAAAAAGAACACACACTGTTCTTTTTCATTAGGAAGGAGGCACTCCTGTGCCCCAGAGACTCTCCATTGTGGGGCTTCTGCATAGCTACCCCTGAAAAGCTGTGGGGATGGAGGCCCTTCGAGAAGACGGATGATGGGCGTTGTCTGCTGGCCTACCCATCCCACTTCCTCGTTGACAAAAGTGAAGCAAGCAGATGCCCTCTCCTGTCAGCATAACTGCATCCAGGCCAGGCAGCTTTGCTGGCATGACTGTGTCGGCTACAGGGTATAACTTTTTTCACACCCCTAGCTAACATACCTACGCCAAAAATACCACTACAGTGTATATAGGGCAGATGCTGTCTCTCTCTCTCACCCCACCCATCCAGGAGCGAGACACCAAACTCGAGAGCTAAATTCAAAGACCCTTGTAGTATGGCAACAGACAACTCTTCAGCCTACTCGGCAACTGTACTTTGTAAGGAAGGAAAACCCTAAAGTTGAATCACAACCTCAAACTCTTCTTGCCCTAATACCAGAAGCTGTACATCTGGCCAAGGAAAATGGGTCAGGAAAGCATGGGCCAGTCTGCAACCATTGCTGACATAAAGCAGGAGTGTTGGATGTTCAAAGCCAGCCAGTTTAGTGCCTGTGGAAGTAGCCAGCCCCTGGTGGTCCCATCCCCAGGCTTCACTTACCCTCAGCGTTGAGAAGCTTCCTGTCTTTGTACAGGTCTGTCAAGAACAGGCTATTCACCAGGGTGGACTTACCCAGGCCCGACTCTCCTATTGGACACATGAAAAAGAAAAAACAACATCATGTACAAAGTGGGTTACAAAAAAAGCCTTGAGGCATCTCAAAACACTGGATCCTGCACCAAGGGAAGCCAGAGATGGGAACCTGTTGGGGTTGTATGTAGCTGTTACATTTCTCCAGCAGCAGGAGGACCTTCCCAGCATGATCCCTCTGTCCTTGAACACGTGTTATCCCAGGTCCTCCCCATCGTCCCTAGCTATCCAGGGCCTGCTGCTCTCAGGGACACTTTCTGGCAGAGAAGGGGCAGTTACATCCCATACTCAAGCAGGCTGATTGCAGCCAAAAAAAAAGCAGAGTGCTTCCTCTGAAGGAAGCGTCTGACTGGGACACAGAGCAAGGGAGGGAGGGCTCAAGAGTCAGACAGGAGGAAACCAGACAGGAGAAAGGGGTCTTTCGGCAAAGTGGGGAGTGCCAGACAGCAGGCGCGTGCAGAACTCCTCGCCATCCACCTGCTAACCTGCTCACAGCCGGGGCTCCAGGGCTGGGGAGACAGCGGGGTTTGTTCTGGTTAAGCAGAAGGCAAACAGAAGCCAGGGTTAGACACAAGGTGAAATCCTGTCCCCTTTTTAGATCAGTGGCTGAACTTCCCTTGACTGGACAGACCTGAGCCAGCAGAATCGTCTCAGTACCTTGGGGGCAGGACACAAGCCTGGGACCTGATTCAGCCCCCCAAGGAGTCTTGCTCCTTTTAATGGGATGCTTGCAGCCCAGGGCGTTCAGCTGTGTGAGCATCAGTGGCAGAGGCAGGTCCCAGGGACACAGAAGATGCTCTCCCAACTCTCAGCCCAGCTGTGACTGGTCCTCTGAGAAGATGGGCTGCTGAGCAAAGGCAGAGTGGCAAGCAAGTCTCACCAGCAACCATCAAGGTGAAGTCAAAGCCCTTCTTCACGGATTTCCGATGCACCTGGTTGGGCAGGGTGGCAAACCCCACATATTGCTTCTCATGGTCCTGTAGGAAAAGGGAAGAAAGGAACAGGTCAGGGAGGTGCAGGACGCCCAAGGGGTCCCGATCTTGTCCCACACACCAAATCGGGGGAGGGAATCAGGTGCTCTAGCATTTTGGAACTGAATGGGGGAATCAACCCCCATCATCTGCAGCTGCACAGAGAATGAGAAAGTGCCTACTTCAGGGTGGCAGGCTCCTGAGCCCCCAGAGGTCTGAGGTGCTCAAAAGAGGCTTGGGGAATGGTGCTGCATGCCCCACAAACACAGTGTTTTACTGGCTGCTATTTGCCAGGTCCTTGGAAGGGCTGTTACTCCATCCTGTTCTGCACTGGACAGCCTCTCCTTCCCCAGCTGCAAAAACACAGTGGCATCCACCAACCCCAACTTTCCATGAGTTCCCTGAGTCCCTTTCCTCTTCCCGCTCCTGCCAACAAACATACGTGCCTCGTGCACATACAGTCCTTGTCACATATGGCCCAGAGGGCCACCGGGCTGGTATTTCTGTGGGTTCCCTACAATAAAGGCCAGCATCATGTGATGGACAAACCACAGCTCCCATGTATTACACTCCCCAGGGCTGCCCAGGCTCTGGGGCTGTGTATAAAAAGGCCAAGAGCAAGGATCAATGGTCTCAAATGGCAACACAGGAAGTTTAGGTTGGATATTAGCCACCTTAGAAGGGTGGTGAAGCACTGGAACGGGTTACCTAGAGAGGTGGTGAAATCTCCATCCCTGGAGATTTTTAAGGCCTGGCTTGACAAAGCCTTGGCTGGAATGGTCTAGTTGGGGATGGTCCTGCTTTGAGCAAGGGGTTAGACTAGATGGCCTCCTGAGATCCTTTCCAACCCTAATTTTCTATAATTCTACGATGAATTGGTCTCCACTCCCTTTATCAGGCTTTTATTTCTTGCACTGTCACCTCCACTCCCAACTAAGTAATGGGAAACACCAACCAGCTCTAATAGTTATTTCAAAAGACAGTCAAGTGTAAAGAGCCCAGAGAGTGATATAAAGTCAGAGGACCAGAGAACATCTCCAAGGCTGCTGGGGCTCCAGATGTTTGATCCAAGAAGGGACAGATCCAGCTGGACCTGCCAGTTCTTTCCCATTACAGATCCTCAGCACGTGCCTGCATCACATATGTATTTTCCATCAAAGACCTCCCCCATATGGGAATACCAGCATGCAGTGTCCATCAACAGGTATCTCTCCTGGCCAGCAGTGACTGTACATGCCCATGGAGTTTGCAGTTCATAAGCCAGCTGTATGTGTTCAGAGTTGCGTGTGAAGAGCTGCACACCCAAAAAGCCACTGGCTATGCACAGTAGCATGAAGCTTTATTGGGCCTACAAGCTCATGAGCAATACCACGTGTTCTGAGTGCCACTGACTGGCACCGTATCTAACTGAGCCTTCTCCTGAGTGCTCTTATCATAGCGTGCGAGCTGTACAGGCATAATGCAAGTGTGTAGCATGCACTGAATGACTGCATCATATGTCAGATAAGCCCAGTCTGTGAGAAAGGACACTGCCAGTCACTGCATACAGAAAGAGGAAACTTCATAAATTCATACCAGGGTAGAAGCTGCAGGCGTAACAGACACTGCAGGCAAACAGGCACTGTGTGTAGCCTGCCGCCTTTGTGAGTCACTTTCAAAGATATTCTGCACACATGGAACAGGCCTGTGGCATAAACGTATTTTCAGAATGGGCTAACATCCCAGGCAGACGAAACTCAAGGGTGCACTCGCATCAGCAGATTCATTTCCAGGCCTAGCCCAGCCCTCCTTGGCTGAGAAGAATGACCCATACTCTCACCGTTAACATTGGCTTCCAGATGTAGCAGACGTTCCCTGGAGAACAGCAGACTCATTTACCTGCTTGTGCTCCTAAAATTCGAGCTCAGCTCGGCAAAGCCCCATGAATGCAGTATTCATAGCTCTTGCAGTCAGGGAGGAACTGCTGGTTGTGCACAGCTCCGGGTATACAGAGGCATCATTCTCTCGGCCAAGTCTGCTCCATCCTCACTTAGTAACAGTTTCCTACAGCCTGACTGCAAGAACAGCCCAGCACACAAACTGGGCTACATGCATACCCCTCTCCAGTGCTATACGCATACCCCTCTCCCTTCCTCCAGCCCCAGCCAGAGAGCGGGTGAGGACCTTGGCAAAACTCACTCCTTTTTTACATATTTTCCAAGTCCCAACCAAAAGGAAGCAACAATTCACCAAACACCAAGTTGGAGACATCACAGATTCTGCATATCAAAACTGCGTCCCGAGAATAAACAAGCAGCAGGATTCTCGCCACGCAGAGTCAGCACAGCCAAGGGCCTCTCGCAGCTCGGTCCCAGCACTGACACAGAGGTTTCCGCTCATACACAATGTTTCCCCCTTCCTGGCCATCAAGCACAGCTTGCCAAAGAGTCTGACAGGACCCGCATGCAGGAGGTAACCTGGCCTCGCCAGCTCCATCATATCCGATGCACTGTAAAAGACAAAGCTGGAACCATGCAGACCTTTGGTCCGCCTCGCTTGCCAGCATCTTGTCCTGTAGCCTGGCATAAATCAGCATAACACCCCTACTTCAAACAGGTTTACACACTCCAAGAATCAGTCCTGTTCCTATTCTTTACTTTCAGCCCAACTATGCAGTGCCTGGGACAACTGCTTGCAACAAAACCAACCCCTGGCAGGGACAGGCCCAATCTGGAGTGCTTTGCAAGTTGGGGGAGTTTATGGGACACGTTGACATGCTGACCACTAAACCCTGACAGAGTGGCTCAGACCTCGCCCTTCATGTGCTCAACACCACCACGGTGAGACCACCGAGTACACTTCAGCCATGGCCTGATATGCCTCTGCCACCTCACAGTTAACAGAGACACAAAGAGCTCGGTGACACCGTTCCTGCACAAAGCCCCGGAGTGCCACCCTGTGGGCACTCCCCTCCCACTCCCGCACATGCTGAAAATGAGGCCACGGGGCCACCTTTGAGCAGCCCTGGGAACATGCTTGGTGCTGCCCCTTTGGCCTGCTTAATGATGCATGCTTGGGGTTGCTCGAAAGCAGCCACGTTGTCTCACTTCTGGGATCTGGCACATGTGGGATCAGGTGGGGCCATGATTCATGGACAAAGAGATAGTGAAGACAGGCCCCGAGAGGGACCAACAAACAAAATCCAAGAGAGAAGCCCCAGGCCCCCAGCACTGCTCCCAGACAAGGGTTTCATTAAGAGCTCTAAAAGGCCTTGATACCCCACATTACAGGGGTGGGCAAAGCACAGCCCGCGGGCCAGATGCAGCCCACCAGGTCATTCTATGCAGCCTGCTGGGCCCCTAAAAAATTTCAAAAATTAATATTTATCAGCTCCTGGCTGCCTGTCATGTGGCCCTCAATGGCTTGCCAAAACTCAGTAAGCAGCCCTCCACCCAAAATAATTGCCCACCCCTGCCACATGACAACCCTAGGAAGCAGAAGCAGCAAAGGAGCAAAGGGAAGGGACATGGGGGAAGGGGGTGTGCAGTGCAGAGAGGAGCAAGGCAGTGGGAGGAGTATGGGAGAAGGGACATGCAGAGTGACAGGGGGGCAGGGAAAAGGATGCATGGAGCAGGTAGAGCATGGGAAAAAGGACACACAAAACAGGGGGAAACAGGGGGGCAAAATGGTTGTGGCTCTGGCTCTGACCCTGACCCCAACCCCAACCCTGAATGCAGGCTGGAGCTAGAGCCACCTGCTGCCTGTGCCAGGTGCTCCATGCTCCCAGAAAAGATGAAACCAAAGCCAGAGTAACTCCAAAGGTAAGTGGACAAAGGCAGGGGTCGAAGGGGACAGGCATCAGTGGGGGACAAGTAGCAGAGTGGGAAAGCATTGGGAGAGGGAGAGGCAGCAGGGAGACAGGCGGGAGGAGGAGTGCAAGTGGCAAGGAGGGAACAAGGGGAGTGGGGTAGGCTGCCTGTCCCCAGCTACTGCTTTCCCTGTGGCAGTGGTGGGAGGATATGAATTTAGGAGGAATCTCCAATAACTTTGGATAATTTTAGACCTGGAAAGTTAAAACGAATGTATAATCTTCCAAGTCTAGAATTAGAATCTAGTTATGGGGGGGGCTCCTGACATTGCTTGCACCCTGGGAGGGCATGGGAGGTACGGCATGTGCCCCCAGATCTGCGCGGGGCAGGCAGGCTGCAGCTGCGGACTGGAGCTCAGCCGGGCTCTTCTTGGTGGGGGCTGGGCTCAGGGCAGGCAGCAGCAGCACTGGAAGGGG